ACACACACACACACACACACACACACTCCCACACACACACACACACACGCACATATGCACAGACAATCTCATTCTCTCTCGCTTCCCACTCTCTCTCCCTCCTTCTGTCAATCTATCTATTTCTCCCGGTCAGTGTGTGCGCATGATCGGGAAAGGGTTTTGAGAGAGGAACACGTTACCTTAACACAAGTGTTTAAGATTAAATTCCCTTCAAATGGTGATGGTGTTTCGTCCTAACCACGATAAAGCCGGAGTATACATAGGCAAAAACTTAAACTGATGTGTTGTTAAGTAATTCGAATACCTAGGAACTGAAATCGTGCCTGATATGTAACACGCAAACAAATGAAACCTTTGATGATATCAGAGCATTAAGTAGACTGAAGCAAGGAACTGAATTATTTTATCAACAAACTGTACCCTACCGGGTGAAGCAATAAATAACGGATAGAGAGTACGGTAAAACCACACACAGTTACATCGAACGGATGTCTCACCAAGCTGAGAAAATTTAGAAGTTTGGTTGGAAGGTAGGAGTGGGGGGGTTTAAGCTACTTAGGAGGCCTGGTTCAAGTAAGATGGGACCACACTCCATACGTCAAGAGTGGCCTTTGAATGGTTACCGCATTCCCCCGACCTGAAAACCTTCAATTATTTCATGTGTGGTCTTTTGACAAACGGAGTCTATAGAAACATCACACGAAGAATCGAACAGTTAAAAGTCAATGTTTCACAGGAAGTCCAACGAATTGACCTGGAAACATGCCAAAGGTTATTTAGAATTTCCAGTTGAGTGTTGGAGCTTGTTGGGGGGAAATGACAAACACCTGGAACATTCAGTTTAAATAGCAAGCACTTTTCCTAAGTTTATTTTGCAATATCAGTTTTGTAAAATATGTGTTCTTCTATGCGTAGCTAGTGAATATGAAGACTATGTGAAATAAAACAATGTGGCTGATTTAAAGATGTTTCAAAATTTTGCGTTTCGTTCAATTTTGTTTGATTGATTTAAATAAAATCACTTTTCGAAAACGTCAATTGATTTTTCCCCCTTAGAGACACATGTGGCATCCACCTCTTTGAATTATATTACTTGTTCAAAGATTTGTTCACCTAGTCCCAAAATGACCGATGCCTTCTAATTGGGTTCTCTTTGTCTTTAGACTCCCGGTACAAACACAAGGTGCGCTCTTTGATGTGTTGTCATATATCTCTCCACCAATGTCTGTGATGAAACAGTAAGGCGTTTGACTGTCGCACGTAGAAGACGTGAGCTCGATGCCAGAGTAGGGGGAGTTGTATCCCTCTCAGCCATTCTAACATTATTCACTTTCAGTTTATACCTGTTGTCTCTCCTTTGTTTTCGATACATGTTAACGGGATTGAATTTGTTTCGTCCAAATGTTGTTTCAGGTACACATACTTTCATTTTTTATGGCTCACAGCTGTTGTCTAATGTCATCTCGTGTAGAAAAAATAACAAAATTAATTCGGCACAAATATTTCTTTTTTCCTCTTGGTACACGGAAAACTTCTGATTCATCATGTAGGTATTTGTTACGAAACAATGTATGTACCTGAAACATTCGGGAGCAAAGTAAGAAGATGAACAGCAGTAAGCGAAGTTTGGAAAGAGTGAGTATTCGGCCCTTTTTAATAAAGGTGTTTTATGCCACCATCGAAAACATAAGACCATTTAGGAGTCTGGCTTCCGATCCTACCTTTGAAGACCTACCCGGGCTGGGAGGGATACAACAATCCAGCTGAAAAACTGAGATACTCGATAAAAATGTATACTCCCTCAGAAAGCGAACTCGGGTCTCACTCGTGCAAAAACAAAGCGACTAACCGCAAAGCCAAAGACGTCGATTCTTCGGCCTTCACAAATTTTGTACAGGTTCGTAGTAGGGAGAGGTGGTATCTTTATTGACTCAGTTCATGTTTGATTTTAGTTGATCTGAACGGAAAAGTTCAGGTTATGAATTTTATTTTAAGATTTTACCTACATACTTCCGAGTTAAGCTTAACTTTTTCCTCACTTTTTTGTTATTCTTCTCAATGTCGCAATCTTTGGAACTTCTTTTTCGCGGTATGCATACATTGAACATGCATCGCTTAAGGTTAAAAATAAAACATTCACTGACCTTTCGTTTCGACTTGAGCTGTTGCGCATCCCTGTTGTCATCTGCATTCCCAGGCAAGTTACGGCGCCACAACTGGCGGCCAATTCCGATATAAGTCACAGAGAGAATGGTCACGGGCAGAAAGTAGGTTATGATCATAATGAAGAAGCCGTAGGCCAGCTTGCTGTCCTGGTCCGGCCACACCTCCTCACACAAGACTCTCCCACCTACCTCCTTGGTGCGGCCCGTGATGAGAGCGATCACACCCAGGGACAGGGCAAACGCCCATATACACAGAATCACCAGTTTAGACCGAGAGCTGGTGACTCTCTTCCGAAGAGGAAATTTTACAGCGACCAGTCTGTCGATACCAATGGCCGTGTTGGTGCTGACCGAGGCAAGAACACTGACCACTTGGCAGCACTGGACGATAGGACACATAATATCAGAGAAGATCCAGTGTCCAGTGATTTGGTAGGCAAAGGTGAAGGGAATACAGAAAATAGCCATGATTAAATCCGCCACGGCAAGATTCAATAGAAATGGGCGCAACTCGGTGTTTGAGCGTTTGCCTTTTGTGAAAACTACTATAGCCAACGAGTTGCCTATAAGAGCAGCCGCTGTGGTCAATGTGTATAGCATAACAAGAATAATTTGTGAGGCATACGGGATCATTTCTACCGGGGGTAACATGGTCATGTTTATGTTGTTTGATGAGTTCAAAGAGGACATGTCTGTTGAGGTGGGTAACCCCGTGCTAAAAGCAGACGAGCTGTCGTTGTTGATGGTCGTTGTTATAAAGATAGTTGAATTTCCACCCGAATTTAGGAAAGTTCGTCTGTCCATATCCACGTCTGGATTGAGAGATGAGCTCCCGTTGCTCAGTGTTGATCTCATGATATTTTCCATGATGCAAGCTAGCTAATCACGCTCGTGTATAAGTGTTTTGAGAGCAAACGGATTTAAGCTGTCAAAGTTCACAGCTAAAGACAACATACGGATTCACGCTTTTGCAAAAGACATTGAATATAACATTACCATTTCAAATCTTCAGAGATGATCACGAATAAAACAGTGTCTTACCAAGAAACAATAATCTTGGCATTAACCTTACCGTTTGACTTTAAATAATAAACCATGTTTTTGTGAAATAAATCACACCGCAGTAAGTCCACTCACTGTCTTTGAACACTTTAAAATGATCCGTTTCTTTCTCTTGTCAGAAATTGAATAATATGATATAACTGTTCGTAACGTCCGTAACAGATTTCTTTAACTACAGCTGGTTACTAAACACCTAAGCATTATACAATGTCATCGTAAGAACACGATAAGAAACGCGAGTCATTAAATTTGCTGAGGACACGCATAATTCTTGTCTCATTTGCCGAATCAGCGGCGGCGTGCAGGCAAAATTAATCAAACCACGACTGCGGCCTGTCTTGGTGGCGGACAACGACGTACTCCCTCTGCCACTTCCTCCCCGCACCCGTCTCTCTCTCTCTCTCTCTTCGTCTCTCTCCTCCTTTTCCCTCT